TTTGCAGGCTTTGCAGGAGAAGGTGGATATTAATGATTATGAATATAAAAAAATCCCTAAGCCAAAGGAAAGCTCATAAAACAACGAAAAGGTTACTTAGATTCTTTTGTGCTATAATTTTGGAGCTCGTAGGGATTCGCTTTAGCAATAATATACCAGCAGTGCAGCTCTTCCTTTCCTTGAGTTAACTGGTGAAATTTTTTTGATCGGCTGTTGCATTGTGTATGCTTTTAGTTGTATATGCAGCTCTAAGAAGGCTGAATATAAGTGACTCGTAGCCAATTTTGGGATTTTAAATTTCCTGAAACAACCTAACCTATCCAGAGGAAAGTCAGCTGTGGCATTAATGTGAATATTTATGGAAGTGTTCTGTGAAACCCAGTGTCCAATTTCAGCGAAGCCTGACAAGTTAGGGATTTCAGATACTTATTTTTTGAATTATTCAAATTGGTAATCTGTCCAGGATGGTACAGTTTTCAAAATTGGGCATATTAGTCTTATCCATTTTCTTGTTCAATAGGGGTCTCATTTTGTTGTTTTCATCAATAGAGTTTAATGAAGGACCTTCCATTTGTAACCAAATGTTAGGGTTTATAGCAATAGAGTTTTATTGTTGTGTTTGTTACCATATCAAAAAAATAAAGTAGGAAGGCTCAGATTCCCCTCAAACAAACGCTGTACTGAAAAGTTCTGAAGTTCAAAATACGAAAGAGAATTACACCTTGGGTCACAAATTAGTTGTCGTGTTTTGTTTATCAAAAGTCAAATTATGTGAACAAAAATTAACATTTTAAAATATATCTTTTTTATAACAGTAACAATGAAGAAAGGTGGACAGAGTTCTCTTGGAAGTGGTAAAGTTTATGACATGGCTAACATACATTGTCATGAGTTATAAAAGATTAAAGAAAGTTGGGGTATAAATCATAATGAATGGGCCACAGATTAATGAGAGAAAAATTGCAGCACAGAATCATATTTTGTCATGAATTATAAAGATTGCTTCTTTTTTCCTTTCATCCTTCTTAACTTTTCCCCTACTAAACCATGCAGCCTCACAACTACAGCACAAAGTCCTCTTACCATCACTCTGTCATAAAGATTGCTTCTTTTTTCCCTTTTTAACCTAGCTTTTCCCCTCTTTAATCCTTTCTAATTTCATGCTTTTTGACATAGTTTTTTTTTTCACTCTCATCCTTTTAAATTCAAAAGTTGAACTCAGTCTCAGTGGTGAATAAATCACCTAGCAAGAAGCAAACTTCAGGTCCTCAAAATCAGATTGCACCATCAAATGTCATTGGGATCTCGAACTCTTTTGACGCTTTGGTGAATGAGGGGGAGATTTCTACAAAGGACGCTGAAAATAAGGAGCAATATATGGATGATGACACACTTTCAATAGCTGGAAAAATCAGTTCTACAGGTGGTGAAAAGCAGCAGCAAAATACAGAGGACATAGATGCTCCACTTGGGGTCGCAAGTATTGATAATCACAGTGCTGAGCCAAGTCAAATACATGTAGCAGCTACACCAACACAGACTATTTCCAACATGGATCTAGCTAAAATGGTAAACGATGCACCTGTAGCTATGATGAGGAATACATCTCCAAAAAAATGGCAATCACAGGCTCCAGTCAGTAGCAATCAACAGCAACATTCCAAGAACACAGAGGTACGACAATTTGTTTCGAAGGACATTATTCCTTTTGATGCGCAAAAGACTGAGGCACACAGTTCCAATAAACCTCACTTTTCCAATCCTCATGTCCAACAAATCATCAAAGATACACAAAATGCAATGATGATGAATTCTTCTGTGGTTAAACAACCTTTTGTCACTTTGAACACTTCGGTTTTTGAAATACCTTCACAATCAGTGGAGTCTTTTGGGGAATTTGAAGGTGAATCTGGGCAGCTTATGCTGTCAACTGGGAATAACAACAATGTCATACAAGCAAAGGTGAGGGAGATGGCTATCAAATCCAAGCTTTGGCTTGACCAACGTGAGGAGGACGATGAAGAGGACCGGGGTGATGGTTTTTATGGGTACTCATCTGAAGAGACAGATCATGAGGTCGATCAGGAGAGTGCAGGTGAAGAATTCGATTCACTAACACTGCCTAAACCAGATGGTTTACCAACAGCGAGCCAAAAAAGCACATTAAACCTCAATGCACCAGCTTTCATTCCCAGGAACTCTCCAGTTGTTGCTCGCCAAAATGCAGCAGCTGGAAACGTAGTCCAAAATGCAGAAACACGTAATAACCAAAATTATCCAGCAGCAGTGTCAACCACTGGACAGCAGCAGCGTAGTGAAGCAACTACAACTGAAGCCAACTCGATGGTAGTGGCAGTAGCAAGTAAATCTGGGCAGCATCAGCAGAAATACTTTGCAAGCATTGAAGCTGGACAGCAGATGCAGATTGCAAGCCCTGATGACTTCAGCAGCAAATTGCGAGCACATCAAGGGCAGCACTGATGACTTCAATCTCAGGACAACAAAATGGTCAGCAACAACAAAATGCAACCAGTTCAACTGATTTAATGATGCCTTCAATGGCTGGAAAGGAGCAACATGATTTAAATAAGTCATTGATTACTGTGGAGGACAGAAAATTACTCGACGCCATGGTAAGTCCCAAACCAGTAAACTCTCTTAATAGTAATGCTCTTCGCACTAGCTGCGGGGTTAAAAACAGGAATCAAGGCATACAACAACAAAAAAACAAGGTAATTGTTGCAAATACACAAGGTGAAAATGCCTCGGTGACATTTGATGTCGTCCAAAATGCTCCACATCCTGTGAACTTGGGGAGAGAAATTTTCGAAGAAGGAGAAGAAGATGCAATGTTACAACAGTGCAGGGCAGAGGCAGCAAGAAAAGGTGATTTATCACCTATGCATAGCGGAAAAAATAGGAAATCTCATACAAGG